CCCTCTCTCTCTCTCTCTCTCTCTCTCTCTCTCTATCTATCTCTCTCTCTTTTTCTCTCTCTCTCTCTCTCCCTCCCCTCTCTAGGAAAAAAGAAAAATGGAAAAAGCAGAGACAATTATCTCACCCTCTTCAGTCGCGTGTTTCCAGACTTGAAAGGAAACCTGATGTAGAACTCACTGTACCTCAGACAGTTCGGTCCAATTTTTGTTTCAGCAATAAAAAGTGGGAAAGTTTTTAAAATAACGTATTCAAAGTGGGAATTTACAAGACGCAATATAGCTCTTGTGGTGTCCAAAGAGATTAAACGAATTCAAGGACCATGAAGACCAAAAAAATGCACGGTAGAGATAGCTGTACATATTATATAAATATATATATAGTATCCATATTATATGAACGAACTGAACAACGGCATCCTAACAACTGAACAGACTGCAAAAACATCTTATTGAGAAAACTGCTTGGTACACTGCTTCGGCTTCAGAAACATTTTTAACGATGCAGTGATATACTAGATGAATAAATCATCTTTGCGTTAAACGCACGTAACTACTATAATATGTACATCATGCAAAATATGCTTCTTTTATTATTCATAATCACATTCCTTGGAAACTACATTCCTCCTTTTTTCCTTTCCTAACGTTCTGTGACATCCAGCCTAGATCGGATATATTACGCATGCGCACTGGTAAACGGTATTGACAGCGGAACACGTCATGAGTGTCACAAAGTCATAATGATCGCTCCCTTTTTCCTGGCTGACATAGTTCCTCCAGGGCGTTCGAAGGGCAATGGAGGAAGACGCTACCCCAGCTACGCACACGTTCATCAAGAATAGACTGGACCGACTGAAATACGCCGCAGTAATCTTCGTTCGGAGATAAATGGATTGACATTTCTTATATACCATTCAATTTATTCTGCCTTATTAACAAAAACACGTGATACATCCTTGCTCTATCTCTTTCTGTATCTGTATGGAACTGTAACAACCCCTACCTCCCACACTGTTTGCGTCCGTATGCACTCTCGGTATTACCTACCCCCCCCCCTCCTTTTTTTTTTTACCCAGAACCACTCTGTACATACCTTCACAAAAGCGTGCATTTCCGTGAGGATCAAATTACATTAACGCTAATCACTTTCGTTTGGGTTTCAGTTGCACGTTGATTTCCGTTTATCCATTTTAAAATAATCGTTCCCCCCAAAGTATAACAACTCTGAATGTGTTCCGATCCAAATACTCCATCCTGTCGTTGATCTCAAAACTGTTCGTGAGGGCGATGTTTCCAAATACTGTTGTAACGGATAGGAGATCTTTGCCAGAGTGTTACTAAAAGTTTACAATTACTACCCTGCTCCAAGTGGAACAAATGTATGGACAGCGTCTTTGCTCCTGTGCTTTATCCTTGAAAAACAGAAAAGCTAAATGGAATGTTTTGACTGACCGCGTAGTTGTCTTCGGGTAACAATGCGAATGAATCTTCCTTCGGTTTAGCTTTGCCTCCAGTGCGGTAAACTCAGAGTGATCAAAATATGAGATACATGTCGGAGCAACTGAAATTGATAAAGAGAGATAGACAAACATATATGTTAGCCACTAATTTATACTCTTGGTAGTATGCCTATAGGCCTCCTCAAACCCGTAGGCTTTACCTGGTCCAGCACAAAGTGAATTATGAAAGAATACAAAATCATCATGCTCATGGAAACAACCAAACACTGTCCGCTGATACTATTTCCGCGAAGATAGAGAAACCCAAAAGTTATGACATCATAAATGCGCGTTAAGCATTTAGGGGCTTGTTCTGGGCACTATATTCAGACAACACCTCCCAACACTGCTTTCCATCTTGTCCAGAAACAGTAGTTTGTTTTCTGCGACTCTCAAGTGTCCATTATATCGTTCTTCCTACATGGATGCTGAACTGCCTTGTACCTCACAATCTCCACTCACGTTTTGTTGCCAACTGCTTATAATTTGTTGTCTACAGGGCTTTGCTTCCCCGAAACAACAACCCCCATCCCGCCCAACACAAATGTCAATGTATGACCGTGACTATTACCCGCAATATTCCCCGGGAGGCGGGCCGGACCAATACAGACAGCAGAAGCCTCCAGCGGCGCCTCACCACCAGCCCCTCCACGTGCAGGCCCCGCCCCCTGACCGTCATCGCACCTCCTACAGCCAACCGCCCACCACCCCCACCACGCCCACACCTCCATGGGCGGCTCAGCAGGCGGCCCCCAAGCGGGTATCCAAGCTGTCCAAACTTGGCGGAGGAGGGGGCTTCAACTTTGGCGTCGATTACGCCACGTTGCCTAGAAGCAGAAGCCAGTCCTCGGTACAAAAACTCTCCATAATACGCAAGCAGCATAGCTCAGTGCTGTACATGATCAATGTGATAGCGTCATCTGCTTTAGACCGTACTTCGCCTGGATGGATGTGCTCAAATAATAATCTTCCTATCTCGTGATAACGCACGGCTTTCTCGATTCAAAATTTGGTGTGTAACTCTCTAGAATATGCTTCCTCTGGCGTAGTGTCACTTTAAAGCCAGTCTCTTGTGGTCAAAAACGTCTCTTGCGATCTAAATGGGTGCTCTAATTCACTATTAAGGGAACCATTTCATAGGAGATTCCACCACTACGTTAGTATAAGCTTACAGAGAGTTATACACTATTTGCTGTTGCTTGATGTAGCAAGAAAATGCTAGTACGTTGTACAAATATTAAACAAAAGTTATTGGGTATTTTTGCCTTTTTATATGAAAATATTGTCGTCGTGAGCTGCAGAGTAGTGTAGAATGTAACGTGAAGTAAATAATCGTTGCACTGATTTATTTAGGAGGCTGCACTTTTAAAGAAATCTAAATTCGAATGAAACCTCGTGTCATCCATGAAGCCATTCTCATCAATCATTCATCTGCATGACATCATGCAAAAAATGTGCCCCAAAGCTTTCTTTCTTGGTCGTTTCTCAGTCTTTGGCATCGCTTTGTGTTACTAAACAAAACCGCATTTTCTTAAACTTTTATGAAGGCACCATCATTAATACCCCTTGGCCACACATTAGCATAGCTTGCTGAAGACAATGCTTAACAGTTCTTTTCCTTAAATTTGATGGCAAGCGATCTTTCTTAAAACGAACCAAGACTTTTCTGTTGAAGTTTTACAACTAACTTTTCTCTAAAGCGAAGTTTCATTGCTCATTAATCATTCACATATAAACTATGCGCTCTGCTTCCCAGAATAATGACTAACTGGGGCGGAATCAACCTCAGGAACTACATAATATAAATGTTTTTCAAATACTCTGTTTTAAAAAAACTAGCATTTTCTTGGCACTGTTTAATACAGCACATCTGGTATTAGCTCTTTCCTACCTATTTCGTGAACAGTTGCGAGAGTACACGATGTGTGTTCTTGACCCCATCGTCCTCAAGAGACCAGTGTGTTCCCATCTTTCCTCGGACACATCTTCCCCTGACACAACGCATCCTGCCTCCCGTTAAACGTTCTCAACTAACTCACAGACTGGATCGACTTTGCATGACATGCATGGTGTGTCTTTTCAGATTGCCCTTTGCATGAAACGTTTATACTTCTCATTGGTATTAGCGTATTAGCTCATAGTTATTGTTGTGAGGTTTATCATGCTTTTCGTTTGCCTCAGCTAAGCAATATTTAAAATATTGGCGTTAATATGTTATAGATAAGTTACATTTTCATAAATTTTGAAGGTGATAGATACTTTTTCTTTGATTATGAATGTGTCAAATTCTGAACAGCGCCGTAAGAGAAAGTGACAAGAAACTGATATTGGAATATTGCCCCTTGACAAGCCACTGTCTAAGCGGGGTGGGAGAGGGGTAGTATAAACTTTTCTGTGGTGCAAACGCCATAGGAAGTAGCACCACTTATAAGACAAGATGAGAGAATTCCATTCTGAAATAACGTGCTCACACATCTGACACACACAAACAAACACACACACACACACACACACACACACACACACACACACACACACACACAAAGGGAGTACACCATTCCCCCACTTGTCAGTCTCTCCGCACCCCTTCAACAGGCTCAATATGGCGCTAGGAGACCCCGCACGACCTCCGACTCCATTGACGGGCCGGAAGACATCGAGCCAGACAGACTGGCCTCTGGCCCTGTTCCGAAAGTATGCAGTCTGCGCAATCTAGGCGGAGGCGGATATGACTTTGGATCCTCTTTTGGAGCCTCAGCAACTCTTCCAAGGCGTAGCACTGGACGAAGACTCTCGGTAGCAATCTTTATATTTCTCTCTTCTTCATCTTTTTTTCGACTACATTATAAATAACTATTTCAGTCAAGTCCTGACCGAAAGTTTAAACGTTTCAGCAAGTTCGATCTTTTTAATGGTTGATTTTTCCAGGCTACTGGAATGTTCAGGTAGAGCCAACAGCCACCTGCCTCGATATAACACAAGAGTAACAAAAGAATTATAGTAAGATTATATTTTTCACCGCAAACAGGTGTTTTGGGTTTGATTGTTTTTTTCTTATGAAAACTGTCTCTTAAGAGAAGCAGCAGCAAAACAAGGTCTTAATTTAATTCAAATTTCGACTTTAAGATAAATTCGACTTATCTGATTTGACGTTGCGATCCAAAGAAAACATTGTACTACCAGTCCTAATAGAAGCTTTGCCACTAAATTATTTGGACACGATAGTATTTAACTACTTTGACTTTTGCTTAATATGTTCATAAAATAGCAATGGGTTCTCCTTGAATAAGTTTTTAAAATAAAAAGTATCTGAAGAAGATTGGAGACGGATTATCAATAAGCCGCCATGGAAATTTTGAAAATATGAAAAGAAGAATTACGAGCAAGCTGCCATACTATTTGTATTTTCTAGTGTAGATTGTATTTAGTGGAATGCAAATGATTATTCAGTTATAGACATATTATAGACTCTGACGTTGTCCCCTTTACACCAGTAGATGGCATACAGCTTTTGAACTGAGTATGGTTAGATCCCTCACCATTACAATTGGTGAATAAATATTGTACAACCACTCCTAAGCAAACAGTTCCCATTACTTCATGTGTCCCTCCCAAGAATGAATCGTTACCCTCCTGCTCGATTGCTTTTACGTCATTTCTAATCCACATCGTATTTCAGACATTCACAAATTCATCTGTCATAAACTAGCTCATCAGTACTAAAGAAACAATAACTAAGGTATTTCACCATTTCATCTTTTTAGTTTGGAATCTTTTCATCCTATATCCTTCAGGTGTCTAGGGACACTGAAGTAAAATTCGTTCCTTGAAGAACCAATAAGGTAATAATATAAAGAGAAAAATAAGTGCACAATTTGTAGAGCCTAGAGGTACGGGAAATGGGGTGATAGGTGCTGAAGTGAATTGTCTCCAAAACTGTGCAACGATTGTAGAGTGTTACTTAAACTTTGAATTTTTTCAAAACATTCTTGCTACTGAGAGCCAGTCGTTAAAACCCCTCTTCCCCAGATCGAGGGTTGTTGTTTTTACCCGTTTCTTACAGCGTTTCCATTTATCATTACTGGCTTATATTTCCCCCACAGGGTTCCATCGGAATTAATCAGCCATGATTGTTTTCAGGTGTCACTTTTTCTCTCCATCTGAAATGTGGAAACATTCAATGTTACTGGAACAAACACGTGTGAATCTGTCTGACCCCCTACCTCCTCCTTGTTCTCTCGACAGCAACCCCCAAGCATGCCTGGTGGTGGCTCTGGATTCATGCCTCGAAAGATATCCCTCAATAGGCTGGGAGGCGGAGGGCCCGACTTCGGATCTGATTTCACCCAAGGCCGGGGTGGACAAACCCCCGCCCAGAGGTATGAACCTGTGAGGGATTCCTCCACCATGCTCAATAGGTAAAGATTCGGTTGTCCGGGACGACAGCTGTTTGGTTTTGTGATCTACTCGTGTAAAACCCCACCCCCACCGTTTCTCCCATGTAACCAGTAACAACAACCCTCTTTTGTCTTGACTTCAGTAAACATAACAGAGGTCCCCCTCCACTCCCTTAGATCTAGAATATAAAAAGCGTTATGATGACCCGACAGCATGCCCTCGTAAACGTATACACAAAGCATATACACCCATCTTGATATCAGTAAACAAAAGGGGGAACAATTACGTCATATTCATCTTTTCAAATCCCATTTGCTTAATCGTCTTTTCTTCCAACGAATAGAGCTATCGTACTTAAGCACAATTAATGTGATGCTCTTTGATATATTGTTTTTGACGGTATTGCTTTTCTTAACCTGAGTGAATTTAACAAGGCAGCCCTCGCTCGCCCTTCATCTTGAACATTGTATTTACCTACTAAATAACAGTACAGCAAAAAAATGAAATTAAAACAATTAAAATGAATCAAAGTTTATATATCAATTACACCCCTCCACGACCCCCCCAATAAAGAAGATCCATTCTTTCACGTCCCTAAAGTGATACCCCCCCCCCCCTTTTCCAAAACCTGCGTATTCTAAAGCCTCGGTTTAAAAAATATATATCGTATAGCATATTAGTTTATGTGAAACATCTTTTTAAAAAAAAATAAACTTTAAATTATTTGACAATCAGTGGAGCTGACTTCCTCGAAGATATTGCCAGCTAAGTAGCAAAAAAATAAATAAATCCCACTCAGCCCTCTTTCTTGTAGATAACCCTTAGAATTAGACAATTTATACAACAGATCCCATTTTCATTGCATAAAACTCTCTCCTACGCCCCCTCCCCC